AATAATATGAAATATATATATATATATATATATATATATGAAAAATAAGAATAACATGAAATCAAGAGTAATGATACAAAGCAAAAGCAAAATAGTATCCTCACCAAACTAGTCTCCCAAAGTTATGACATAAAGCAATACTCAACTACCTCCTAGCCTACAACCCTAATACTCGACCTCCACATGTTCCTATCAAGTGTCATGTCCTCGGAAATCTGAAACATCGTCATATCGTGCCTAATCACCTCCCTCAATACTTCTTAGGCCGCCCTCTACCTCTTCTCGAGCCCTTCACAATAACCAAACAGTGAATAAAAATAATATCAGAATAATTAACCCCAACATAGTTTATCCCAGCATAACCTGTATTTAAACCAAACGACCCCTAAATATGTCTGTGTTGTTGGCTGCATTCTGACCCATATATAGCAGGTTTAAGAGAAAACAAATGACACTTCATCCTTTGTACTCTTTACATTCATGTAATATATATAGCTAATACACAGTAACAGACACAGAAATGTATAGAATCCAAGTATTCATATTTGGCTAACTAGGTGCAGACATGGTCTTTCATTCACTCATTTAGGCTAGTGTTATTGTTTCAGCTTTCCCGATCCCACTAGTGGGATTCTATTTGGTTCATGCAAATAAATTTTTCAAATTCGAGGACTACGTAAAACCTTCCCGCCTTGAGAAAAAAAAAAATCGTTTCTCCCTAAATGGTAATAGGTTCATTTTTTTTTTAAAGAGAGGGAGCATAATAAAAGTGCAAAAGGAAAATAGGTATGCGTCTGCCGGGAGTCGAACCCAGGTCTATTGCTTGGAAGGCAATTATCCTAACCGTTGGACTACAAACGCTTTGTTGTATACTAGCACTTCAAAATTTTTATATAAACAAGTAATCATATGTCATGTGGACTATAATTTAAGCAACATGATGCTAGGAAACAGTGTTATGAGGTAAGAGCACCCAATGACAGAGGCGGACTCAGGATTCAGTAATCCCAGGGGCATCATGATATTCAATATAAATTTATCACTGCTCATAGAGATTGATATGGGGCCTAGGCTAATATTTGACTATTTCTTAAAGACATTTGTATGTATATATGGATTTTTTGTGGAAGTTACCGGGTGCCGGTGACCCCTTTGTTAAGGTGTGTGTCCACCTCTGAATTTTTTACACCTCTCATTGCAATGATGTGAAAGAAAACTTCAAATTCCTTCTCAAAAGATAAAACAAACACAAATATCCCTGCAGACCTCGGACCTATGTGTAACCTTGAAGGTTCACCGGACCCCATAAAAATTCGATAGAAATATTATATATTTTCATGTATATACCTTAAAAATAATTAATTTAAATCAGTTGATATCCTAAACACTAAAAACCTTTAGGAGGTACTAGCTGAGCAGACTCGTTGCGTTAAAATCTTGGGTCCGCCTCTGACGGCAAAGACAGATCAGGACCATCTTTGTTACCGTGTGAAACTTGAAAACAAAGTGATTAACAAGTATAATTCGGTGGGGAGATCTTAATTCAAAACAAAAGGAGGAATTTTAAGTCCTCAGCAAGGCCCTTCCTCCCCTCCCAAAAAGGAATTTTGTCTTTAATTTTTCATAAAACAAGAAGGAAAAAGACACCATAAACTATTTCCGCTGCCGGGGTTCGAACCCGGATTCTTTCAAATAAAGAAGGAATTAACCAGTGCTACAGCGGATCATGTTGTTGCAGATTATCAACTTTATTTATAATATAGCCAATGTATGCTATTAGGTTAATCTATTACTTAACTACTGAAAATTCTCAGTTAGCTGAAGCCTAAGTATTACTCCCTCCGTTTCAAATTAGATAACATACTTTCTTTTTTAGTCCGTTTCAAAATAAATGACACATTTCTAAATTTGAAAATAATTCAACTTTAAACTCTTCATTTTACCCTTAATGAGAAGCTTATATAACCACACAAATGGCATGACTCCATAAAGCTTTTACCCCTTAAATTTTTAAGACCACAAGTTTCAAAAGTATTCTTTTTTTTTTTCTTAAATTTCGTACCGAGTCAAACTAACTCATCTAAATTGAAATGGAGAAATTTATTTCTTCTTCAGTTCACTGATATGTAGACTTCTTTACCTATATCTTACAGCACTTTTTTTTATTAATATATCTTACAGCCTTTTGATATAGTAAATGTGCCAGTTTTTGTATGATCTTCTATTGTAAAATCCAAGTATCATATAACAAAAAGTATTTGTTCCTTCTGTTAATTTGATTTATTAGAGGAATCACCCCTATTAAACAAGGTGTCCTTAGTTTATGACAAATCAATTAAAAATGGGATCTTTACGCAAATAGCCGATTATATTTATTGTTTACTTTTTCTAGTCATATACATAATTTATATATTCATTGTTTACTTTGTCCTCGGGTGGGGCAGAGTGTGGGGCTGGGGTCAGGGGGTGGGTCAGGTAGCAGGGGAGGTAGAGGGGGCAAGGGAGCCTATAGGTTGAGAATCGGGTCATGG